TTACCCATGTGAGAAACAGGCTGAATTTTGCTTCAGCTAATTGATATATTATTTTTTCTTTTCTCTGTTAGCATGTCTGTATTGATAAAGGTAGTTCAGTTATAGTGGAGTCTTATCCCTTGTCTCCAACTGATCCTTGGAGGTGCCTTGGGGCTGTCCAGGGGTTCTTGATTGTGAAGTGTTATCTAGGTGAAGGCTAACCAAAAATTGGTGGCAGACTGATAAGTGGACAACGGACGGTGAAGAGTGATAAGTGGACAACAGACGGTGAAGACTGATAAGTGGACAATGGACAGTGGAGACTGATAAGTGGACGAAGGCCACCTGGAGGGTAACTAATGAAGATACGACCACCAGAGTACTTGTAACCACTAATATTGGACAGCAGGTGATAATAATTTGGGAGAACAGATATATGTGCTTTATCTATAATAGGTTAGGCAGTCGGGAAGAATGTGAGCTCCAACTTCTCAGCCAATGAGAAGGGAGACAGTAACTCAGGCGGCCGGGATAAGAAGTATAAAGATACCTAAGAAACCAAAAGGACGTGTGCCTCTACTTTGAGATGCACCCGATTCAGCGCTGTTTTGTATAATAAATTTCTATACCTTTGCTTCGGCGACTTTGTCCTCTTTAAATTCTAGGTGTGAGCCAGCATTTCTCACACCCAGGAAAAGGAAATTACTGTTTGAATAGAACCAAGCCTGGAGGGAAAGATGTAGGTAAAAGCGAATGTGAGTGGACATTGTCACCAGGAATGGATTGTTATGATCCTTATTGTAGACCTTATAATTGCTTTAGATACTGAGGAAGATGGAACCAAACACATGTAAATCTTATAGATGGCACCTGGGTAAAGCGCTCTTTCAAAGAACCTTGGTACAGTGGATGTAAAGCAGTTGTGAGAGAAATTACGTGAAAAGGGGAGTTTAGAGATTCTTTATTTTTGGCTCGTCAGTGGGACAATGCCATTAGCAAAAATCATGTAATAAGGGTTTATCAATGGGCCTGGAAAAACTCAAATGGAACTAGAACCTATTTTAGAAAATTTTGGTCGGCTACTAAGAATGATAGGGGATGTAACTGTAAATGGCACCCACATGCCGGAGCTTTTGAATGCGATTATTGCTATTCCAATAGTGATTTAAGTAGAGCAGGAGGACCGTTGGGATCAAAAGATACTCTATACTATGAAATACCACATGATAATGAGACATGGGAAGGCCCATGGGCTTTGAAGCGTCATTATTGGATTTGTGGGCAACATGCCTACCGAAGGTTACCTGCAAATTGGTCAGGGATATGTTATATAGGACATATTAGACCATTACTTTTCTTATTACCACAAGTTCAACGAAACGAGTTAGGGGTTAATGTGTATGATGATTTGATAAGAGAACGACGATCAATTGATAAATCCCTAACTAAAGGTAGTTCCCAATCATGGGGAAAAGATGAATGGCCACCTGAACGAATTATAAAATATTATGGACCAGCAACTTGGAATCCCCACAAGGTGATTTCTGGAGCAAAAGACCCCATTTATAATTTAAACAGGATAAAGAGACTACAAACTGGTTTTGAAATTATAACTAACCAGACATCTGAGGTTCTTGACCTTCTTGCAGACCAATCTACTCAAACAAGGAATGCAATTTTCCAACACTGAATGATCCTAGATTATTTACTGGCAGAAGAAAGGGGAGTTTGTGGGAAATTAAATGAATCCAACTGTTGCTTATAAATTGATGATAAAGGGAAGGTAGTAAAACAGATAACAAAAGGAATGAGAAAACTAGCTCATGTGCCAGTTCAAACCTGGAAAGGATGGGAATTAGATATGTTCTCGTGGTTGCCTGGTGGGCCATAGATTAAACGCATGTTGTTTTGCTCTCTTTGCACCGTAGTGGCTCTGATTTCTGTACCATGTATGATACCTTCTTTTATGCAGCTCATTCGGCATGTAGTCAGAAGAATGCAAGTAGTAGCTATGCCCACTGACCCAGAATTAGCTACAAGGTAACAAAAGATGATGACTCTGCAAATAGTTCCAAAACCAAAAAAAGTCAAGGAGAAAAGATCCAATTAATGGTGACTAAACTTTGTGAAGACAAATATAAAAATAAAAAGAGGAGGGATTGATAAAATAGGGACAAGAGTGTCTTCACAAACACGTGATAAAATACGGATAAGAGTGTCTTCACAAACAGGTGATAAAGTAGGGATCTGAGTGTCTCCACAAACAAGAGAAGTTAGTTTAATTCACAAGAGTAAATTACTGAAGAAAACAGGAGAGGTACTGGAAAATGCAGGACTGAGATAACAAAAATAAAATAGGTGAATTAACTGAAGATGCAAAATTTAAACTTTTATGTAATAGGCAGATGGAGAAGTCTGTACCTTCCAAGTTCCTCAGCCAATGGGGAAAGGAAGAGGGTTATACACAGCTGGGGAATTAGGATAAAATGGAGGCTGCGTCCTCTGGAAAACTGAGAGACCCCACAGGGGAATGCCCCAGTGGACTCTCCCTTTATTCGAATAAAGTCTTTGCAGGACTCCTCTGTCTCCTTTGTGAACATCGACCTCCAGCTATGGTATCTTCTGCACAATTTCTGGACCTTGAATGTACATGTGGCTCTTAGCCAAATGCAAAAGCCCTACACATCACAATACTTTAGGGCTCCCTTAATGAATGGAAGTTTGCGTTACAATTTTGTAACAAAAAAAAAGTAGCATCATGTCACAATATACTTGCCACAAGGTGCTTTGAGAAAAGTACCCATTTGATTTGCTAAGGCAGACTGGGCTCCAGCTGTTCACCTGTTTTCACTGTAAAATTACTTAACTTGTCAGAGGAGAATATAATTTTACTTACTGATGTTTCCCTTTTTTTTTTTTTTGCCAGTCTAAAGCTATGAATGGCTCTTGAAAGTCTATGCTTGAATGATGTACCAAATTGATGGACTAGGATTCAATGACACTGTATCACATTTTCATCAGAACATCTACAGATGACTTATTTTTGCTATGATTTTAAGGGCTTACACAGTTTCATCTGAAAATTTCTGGTGTGGCTTACTGAACTTCCTCTTGTTCAACTCCATCTAGATCATGCACATTTCATTAACTAAAAAATGCTCTCCATGACAGTTAAGAAGCTTGCTTCTTCTCTTCTAGATGTCCTGGGACTTAACACTAAAAGTTCAGGAAATGACACTTAAGTGTGGTCTGGCAATAGCTGAACAAGTCTTGACTACTTACAAGTTTTCCATCAACTGTCCTCTCAGGTATTGTCCATCAGTGTACTGGCAGCTGAAAGCTGGGAGCACCCAGGACAGTTCATGAAAGAATCATAGAATCATATGTCTAGGTTGGAAGGGACCTAAAAGATCATCTAGTCCAACCATCAACCTAACTCTGACAAAAAAATAAAAATAAATTTAAAAATAAATAAATAAACCCACCACTAAACCATATTCCTGAGGACCATGTCAACCCATCTTTTGAACACCTCCAGGGATGGTGCCTCAACCACTTCTCTGGGCAGCCCATTCCAATGCTGGGTGACCCTTTCCGTGTAGAAATGTTTCCTAATATCCTATCTAAACCTCCCCTGGCGTAACTTGAGGCCATTTCCTCTTGTCCTAGCGCCTGTGACTTGGGAGATGAGACCGACCCCCACCTCTCTACACCCTCCTTTCAGGTAGTTGTAGAGAGCAATAAGGTCTCCCCTCAGCCTCCTCTTCTCCAGGCTGAATAACCCCAGCTCCCTCAGCCTCTCCTCATAAGACTTACTCTCCAGACCCCTCACCAGCTTCGTTGCCCTTCTCTGGACCCGCTCCAGCACCTCAATGTCTTTTTTATGGTAAGGGGCCCTAAATTGGACACAGTACTCGAGGTGAGGCCTCACCAGTGCCGAGTACAGGTGGACGATCACCTCTCAAGTCCTACTCACCACACTGTTCCTGATACAGGCCAGGATACCATTGGCCTTCTTGGCCACCTGGGCACACTGCTGGCTCATGTTCAGCCAACCAACACCTCCAGGTCCTTTTCTGCCAGGCAGCTCTCCAGCCACTCTTCACCAAGCCTGTAGCGCTGCATGGGGTTGCTGTGACGCAAAGCTGTGTAAGGAGCTTGTAACCAGTACTTCTGTTCAGCTGTAATTTTTTTAAATGTTCCTCTATCCCCGCTTTTGTTTCACTGTCCCACAGACGACAATGACACATTTTCAAAGGAGACTTGTAAGCTTTGAAGAAACTACTCCTCCACCCCAATAGTTTTAAGAAGACAATCTAGTGCTAAATGCAGCCTTTTGCGTTTCTTTCAGAGATCACGCTATCTTCAGCACACCCAAGAGCCTTTATTACTTACAAACACTTTGCATAATCAGGTGAAAATGCTAGACAAGCCTCCGGGGACGATTCTTGGGCTTCTCTGTACAAACACGAAGCTCATCCCCAGATCACCCGAACACTGCCCGAGGGCTAGAAGACGATCAGGGAGACTGCAGAACCCCGCTGGGAAACGCTGGGGACCCCATCAGCCGCGAGGCTGCCGGCCGTGGCCTTAGGCCCCAGGTCGGCCGCAGCCCCAAGGCGTGCCAGGGGAGGAGCCGCTGCTGGTGAGCGGCATCGCCGCCACGGACCGCCGCGGCCCGCCCGTGAGGCGGCGCCAGGCGCGCTACGGTGAGCGGGCGGGGCGAGGCGAGGGCCGCCCGCCGCCGCGGGCCCGGGTAGGCCGTGTTTCCAGGCAAGCCGGCAGTCAGTTGGCCGCCCGCCGGAGGCCTCCACCGCAGCCCGCAGCACCGCCAAGACGGTAGGTAGCGCAGCGGGCAGGTGCGGCCGGCATCGGTTGTCGGCTGCAGCTGCGCAGGCGCGCTCGGCTCGGCTCGGGAGGGCGGGCGGGGCGGGGCGGGGGAGCATGTCCTCAGCTCCTGTCGCAGTTCTGGAGCCGCAGTGCGCCTGCGCGCCGGAGGCGTGATGGGGGGGCGAGCAGGGGAGGAGGGCGGAGCCCGGCCCTGTGTTTTGAACGGCTCGATGCGGGCGGCTCACTATTTGGCAGGAAGGTGAGGAGGCCTCTATCCTGGCGGAGGAGCTGGCGTAGGGAGAGGGGATCCAAATGTGGCAGAGGCGAGCAGGAGGCGGCGGCGGCGGCGGCGGGCAAACGAGACAAGGGGAGCGGCCGTTCCCGCTGCCGCCGCGGAGGAACTGAGCGGCCTGGCAAAGCAGGGGCCTGCGGCAGCGGCTGCAGCGCTGGCACCCCCGGGCCGCACGCCTGGCACCCCGGGCGCCCGTCCCGCTGGCAGGTGAGCGAGCGGGGAAGGCGGGGGAGGGGAGGCGGGGGGGAGCCCGTCGCGCCGCCCTTGGCCTGGCCCGGCCCAGTACCGGGCAGAGCCGGAGGGAGTCGCTGTGTGGGGAGCGGGAGCCGCCGCTGCCAGCCCAGCCCAGCCTGGCCTCCCGTCCCCTGGGGCTGACATTATGTATCCACCCGCGGCGTCCCGGCCCTGCTCTCCCCTACCCTGCCGGCGGCCCTCCGCCGCGACACCCCTCCCGCCTCAGCAGCCCTCTCGGAAGCTGCGGGAGGCGAAGCCATCGGGGCCGCGGGGGCCCCGGGCTTATGTTGCTGTCTCTGCCCTCCCTTCCCCCAGCTCGCACCCTGGCTGCTTGGCAACGCCTCCCACCCTTCCGGGCTCCGAGGGGCTGCCGCCCTACCCTCGTACGGGCCCCGCTCGGCATCCACCCTCCGTCCGCCGCCAGAGGGTCGGGTCGGGGCCGCCCCCCCCTTCCCCTCTGCGGAGCTAGTGTATGTGGGCTGGGCCCCGTCGAGGGGCCGCCGGCAGATAAGCCTCCCCCCCCTTCTATAGCGCACGCTGGGGGAGGCGAAGACGGGGGGAAGCGTGCCCAGGTCCCCCCCGGGGAAGCGGGGCGAAGGGGGCGTGAGTGCGGTGTTGGCAGGGTCGGGCCGGGCCGCGGTGCGGCAGGCTGAAGGGGGATCTGCCGCCCCGGGCTGGCAGCGGCGGGGCTGCGGCCGGAGCTGCCGCCCTGCGAGGCAGCCCCTGTGCGCGCTGCGCCGGGATCCTTTGTCTGCTGCTGCCGCCGCCGCTCTCCCCTCCTCCCTCCCTCTCTCCTTCCTTCCCTCCCTCCCTCCCTCCCTCCCTCCTTTCCGTTCCTCTCTTTCAGTGCCTGACTCTCCTCCCTCCTCGCCTTTCTTTCTCCCTCCCTCCGTCCCCCTCTCTCCCAGACTCCCAGCGCTGCTGCAGCTGCAGGTTTGTAAATACTGGACTAACACACACACAACATGGCTGACGCTCGCCCTGCTCCTCCACCAGGGTCTCCGCCTTCTCCCTCTGTCTCCGCCGCTTAGCCTCTCCTCCGTTTAGGCTTTTGTTTCTTTCCCCCTCCCCCCTCGTTTCCCATCCAAAAAAAAAAAAAAAAAGAGGAAAAACAATTCGCCCTCCTTACTGCACGCATGGCGGGATTTCAATGGTAAGGATCCTCGCTTTAGAAGCTTTCTCCTTTCGTTTTGCTGTTTACAACAAAATGAAACCTAAAAATAAAAGGGGATTCGGAAACCCGACAAGGCCTCGGGCGAGGGAGGAAGGGAGGGAAGGAGGGGGGAACTGGGTGAGCTCTGCTGGCTGAGGCTTGGTTGGAATGTGCGTATCTTTTTCTCTTTTGGGGTGGGGGGAGGCTGATGCACCAAAGTGCTGGCAGAGATGGAATACTGTATTACACTTGCAGAATGATCTAGGGCCTGTTCTTTCATTTCAGGATGTAGTTCAGTGTAAGGTATCAACTCAGCACAGTCACATTAAGAAGACCCGAGCCAGTTCTGTCGGAATAAGCAGAATAAGCATTGTTTAAGTAAAAACTGTAGCATGGTTTGTTTAGATTTCGTTGCATTCCCTGTATCTCCTTGTCAGTATCATAAACAGCTCGCAAATCATGCGGTACAAAACTGGAATTAACACTTGCCAAGTCTTTCTGTTGCTAGTTCTCTGTCACAGATTAATTTGCTCTTGTGATGACAATAGCACAAACCGAAGCATACCCTTTTTGTTACAAGGAGCGCGCCTGCTTTACAAATTCCTTTTTTTTTTTGGTAAAAAAAGGCTTGGTATCATGAACTTAAGTGAGCTCCCAAACTGAAACAAGGCCCTATGCTTCCGACCTCTCCTAGCACAAGGGAAATGCTCAGTTCAATACCCCCCCTCCTCAGTTACTCAGAGCACCCCCTTCTGGCTTCGATGGATATGGCTTTTTTTTTTTTTGGTTATTTATGACGTAAGACCACAATAATGTTTGAGGTTTGCTGAGCATATCTAAAGTGATCTGTCATGGAGCGGATTTGTATCTAGGTTGTAATGTAAGGATGGATGCTCAAGGTGCTAGGACATGATGCTTTATGCTGCTTTCTGGGCATGTTACTTTAGTTCATAGTAAACGATTAATTTTTCAAAGATTATATTTAAAGACACGGTCTTTATTCCGTCATATACACATGGGTAGCAGTAGCTCCTGTTAATATCTGAGCATTGCCCTAAAGTAACGAATGTCCTAGCTCTGTCGTCTTTGTCTACTTTGATTTGGAAGCTTCTAGTGGAGAAGCACAGGCATGGCATAATCGTACAGCTTCTACTGAGATAGAAATAAATACTACACTTCAATGATAGAATTAGGTGTCATATGTTAATACTTCTTTTCCTGCTGCTTTTTCCATCCCTGTTAACAAGCGTTGATTAACTGGTGAGAAAATAATTTATTATAATGACTTTACAATAACATAAAACTTCAGTCATCCAAGTTAAAAGATCGTTTTGGAATGTGTATCTACATCATGGCTCCTAAGCCAACTGTACTACTTCTAGATGGAAAAGTCTGAGCAAGTCTGTACTTGATATGTCAGTAGATTCTTGCAGTAGTTGGTTACTTTTTTTTTTTACATTTAACAACCTGAAGGCAATATTGGTAAAGCTACTAGAATAGTTAACGAGTTGTAGCTAGTAATTAATTCATTATAATAGCCACCACATTTTGAAATTACTGCAAGTGTAAAATGTACTGAGCTGCAGCTTGTGCTGCAGAATAGGTGTTGGATACTTAATCTGATTCTTAGGATGAAGAGCAAAATAAAAATAGGCCATCTGCTTAAATAACAAATCACTTGAAAATAGTTATGTTTCTTAAACCTGGTACATTGTACTTTTGTTGCCACAACTGAATTTTATTCTGTAAAATCCAGCTCTGTTAGCTTTGGAAGTTTTTTGCTTATAGCATCTTGGCTATAGCTTGCAATTGTCTTCTTTTCTATGACACCTAGAAGATTTTTCTTTCTGTCTTAGTTGTGTTGATGAGTTGGCCAAAAATCAATATTGTGGGTCTTAGTATCCCATGAGGAGCTGATCTAGTTGAAGAACTTTCCAAATCTTGGCAATAGAACTTGTGTCTTCAGCACCACTAAGGGAAGATAACTGCAGCGGTTTTCTTGTTGTGGATAATGGTAGACTGTGTTTAATGAAATTAAAGACCAGATACTAGTAACATTTTATTTTCCAAAACTGTTTACTTTTTAATATCGGGAAATGAAACTGAGGAAAAAGAAAACTGCAAGAAGTGCAGTGTCGGTGATCAGCTTACTGGAAGATGTTAAAAATTAACCAATTTCTTTTAACAAGAAATACTTTTCAGTGAGTCTTTGATCAAGTAAATTTTGACTCAGTGTGGTTTTAAGTATTTATGAAATTGCCATTTAAAGTATGAAGTCCTAAAGGTAGTAAACACTTATAGTTGATCTTGTATTTCAATACCTTTTGTATGTTTTCTTGATCCAAGTAGCGTTCTTCCATTGACTTCTTGCCCTATATCTTTCCTTGCTATCTGTTGACAAGCTGTGCTCTTTGACATGTTCAGATCTGCAAACATCTAGCTGATGCAATCGCTGTTTTAAAGGGCTTTTTAAATGTAATGTATAATTTGCTTAATGTTTGACAAATGAAAGATTTTCAGTGAGATTCTGTTTTCTGAAGGAAAAAAAACAGTTTTTTTTTTTTTTTATGGAATGAAGTCTGTTGCTGTAAACTTCTCACTCTTTAATTTTGGTTTTCCCTGCCTCCTTTCTGTTCTTGCCCCAGGTATTAGAAAGATCAAATTTGACTACTTGATGGTATGGCATGAGAATATGTTTTAGCAGATGACTAAAATCAATACAGCAAAGTGATTCAAATACCGTCTTTGGAAAGCTGCTCACTGAAGCTGAGCCAAGAGAGAGAATCACTAGTGTGGAGTTATTTCCTCTTTTATGATTAGATAGTTTGTTTCTCATACCAGATGTGAAAGAATTTTTTGGTTTGTTGTTTTTACTATTTTCCTCCTTTTAATAAACTTGTGAGTTTGGTGGTTTTATGATTGGAAGGTGAATGCTGATCTCTCTTGACTCTGGTTTTCCTAATGAATACTTTCTCTATATATCAAGATGCGTCCCACTTGCTACCCAGGTACTACCTAGATGTCAGCATGCTATGTGGCTTAGAGGAATGGGGAATTTCGCCTTTCTTGTGTGAATGTGGAGACTGCCACATCTCTGACATGGATAAGTGATGGGTTCCTTGAAATGATGTAGTTAACTATTTTGTACTTATCTAAGAACAACTGATTCTAGTGACCAGAAAAACCATTACTGATCCATTTCAAACAATGGTGAAATAATTTTATTCAAACTTGTTGCTTTCGCCATGTGGTAATTGCAGTTAACTTTCATTGTACTGTAATACGTGAATTTGCTGATGGCCTGTGGAATTCAGGAGGTAAATTGATTTGGTTATAAGGTGTAGAATGGTTCTACAAATCTGGATTACCTTTTCATGTTACTTTCCTGTAATGTATGTTGTGAAACGGCTGTAAATTTTTGCTGTATGAAACCTTGTTTGACTTGCTTATATAGAAATGTTACTGAAATGATTCCACGATATATAAATATATAGAAATTCTTATAATTACCTGTGGTGACTAACTAGCCTTAACTAGGACCTAATTGTATTTTAATCTTTGCAGTTATTGCAGGGTGGTTGAGATGTTGTTGAAATATCTTCCGATGATATATTTTCTTTTCTTTTTAGATCTGCTTGCAGAGTAAGAGTTACTGACTGAGTTACTTAGAGTATCCTCTAAGCACTTGCAAGTAGGTTTTTATAGAATTTTGATAAGACTACAAAGCTTATAAACCCTTAAGAGCTGACTAGCAATTGGTAGTTTGTTTGTTGTTTTTTAATGTTTAATGTTCCAGTATGATGTTCGCAGTCTGCACCTA